CCCGACTCGACCCACGAACAGGCGACTGCTCGTTGACGAAACGTCCCCGGGGCGCCATTGGCTGCTTTTCCGCCCGTTCCTACCATCGCCAGACGTGCTGGCTCGCTTGGGGGCCCAAGGCATAAGGCGGCAGATTGCGCTGCTGAGCTGGCGGCCGCGGCCCATTTGCTGCTCGAGGGTGGTCGAGCTGCCGCGCCAACGGCTGGCTGGCCGGCGTCGACGACGGACGGTGGGATGCTGCTGGACGCTGGACGCTGGGTGCTGGCCGCTGGATCATGGTGGCCGCCGCTCGCTCTGGCGCAATCTCGAGGCCCGCGCACTCATTCGACGGACGGGGCAGAAGCGTCTCCTCAGCCCTCGCTGGCTCCATGCTCCTCCTGCTCCATGCTTCCATGCTCCGTGCCGTTCGCAGCATGTCGCTCGACGCTCGACGCTAGCCGGCCGCTGCTGTTGGCCCGCCGCGCTGGGCGACTCCATCTCACTCCGTCGAGCGGACGCCAGACTCCCCTGCCCATAATGAAGCCTCAACCCTATCCCCGCCAGCATGCTCAGCGGCGTGGTACCTGATCGGCCGCCGCCAGCTCCCTAGGCCAGCGCTCAGGAGAACATTCCTGTGCTCGCCCGGTCAACGCCGGCGGCACACGAGAGCTCCGCGACGCCCAATTATTCCTCGACGCACGCCAGCTGCTATTGCTCTGCAGCCGCCCCACTGCCTCGTTACGTGAAAAGAGCCGTATGTAATGTCCTTCCTTGATACCTACTCCCTGCCCCGGTCTTGGCTCCGCTGCCCTGCACATGTCCTTCCTGCTGGCGTTGTGACCCTCCCTCTGTACCTGCAGCCACGAGGTCTCACAGCGCTGGGTCCCTCCTGTTCGACCGTTTGACAGCGTCCTACGCCTTTCACACCTCAGTCCTGACCCTGCCCTGCTCAGGCCCTCGAAAGACTGCTTCAAGTCTCTGCCACAGCGCCCCCCGCCGCCCTCGCCCTCGTCCTCCACCACCCACGAACCCCCCCTCCTGCTCCACCGTCCCACCGACTGATATCGTCTGCTACATGGTCGTCCGCGTTGCACGCAGTCTGCTATGAGTCTGGATCAACATATATATGGGTACGGCTTTTTCTTCTGTCCGGTCCACCGCCAAGTGCGCTCTCCACCAGCAAATGCCCCCGAGAAACTTTTGCCATGATGCTGTGGGCTTGGTTTGAGCCAGCCTGTCCGAGAGAACCGTGGGAGTTTCAATGGCACTTGCTGCCTTTCTTCTCCCTCATGCGGGCCGGGTCATTGGCTCTCTGCCTGTTCTCTCGCCCGCCAGGGCAGGCAACACTGCACGGTTAAATCTTGAAGCTCTCTAGCCAACCCCACACTTTACTCATTCCTTCCTTCTTTACCACCGCTGCCGCATGGCAGTCGACACTTCACTTTGTTTCCTCATCCAAAACTTCTGTTGCTCTCGGCACATTTTTCCTTCGCTAAATTTAGTGCACCTCGCAATGTGCCAAAGCTGACCTGTGTGGTGTTTCGTCAGATCTACGGACTGGCACCTCCCCAGCCCTTCCTCGACGCCCAAGTCCCTGACGTTTCCGGACTCAACCTTCAAGACTCCCAAGACTGAGGCTGCTTCTCAGTCACACTTCCTCGACGCCTGGTCGACACCTCGAGTCAATGGGCAGCAGACGCCAGCACAGACGCCATCCTTTGCCTTGTCTACGCCTGTAGAGAGGCCGTCGACGTCTCACAGTCAACAGATTCGCAGTCCAGAAGACCCAGATTTCCATGTCAATCATTTCACCCCTAGCAGCCTCCCACTTCCTCCGGTCGAACCCTCGCGGAGGCTATCATCTTCGCCCGATCCCTCGACCGTCAGAAAGCCGCAGTCGACCTTGCGTGCGAACCCTTCACTTCGCCCGCGTCCCGTAAGCATGGACCCTTCACACATACAAACGCCGCCGCCTACGAGGGACGCCACATCTCGACGAGGCACGCAGCAAGGTTTGGGGAGCGGCTATGGATTTGCCACGCCAGCAACCGTCGTCTCGAGGACCCCTGTTCCGGGTCAAACCATAGATGGCCTCCTCAGCCAAACTCCTTTTGGTTTTCCGACGCTGCAATTCTCGCCAGACGTGTCTCATTTTCCAAATACAGGCCCAATGTCTGCTCCAGCTTTACCACACTCCCGACTCTTCTGGGACCCCTCTAGTGACGGCCAGGGTATGGACGTGGACATTCCTATAGCATCAGATCCATTCGGTCCCACGCCCCACAAAATTGAGGGCAACAGCAACTGGCAGTCTTTTCACACTCCGAATCAAATGCACCCTCAAGCCTTTCAGGCTCTCCATGGCATGTCTTCGCCAGGACCTTCGTATACAGCACACCCTGGATCCATTGATGATACCAAATCACGACCAAATTCATTCATCTCAACTTCAGGGGGCGTTGACCCTAGCGTCCTCTTCAGCTTTTCTAGTCCTGGACCGACGACCTCGTTCAGCAACCCAACACACCAGAACAATATGGGTATCGAAGGCAGGCAACCCTATGAGACTCAATTCCAGGATGCCGTAAGAGAGAAAGAGTTTGCATTGAAGTCAATCTCTCAGCACTCGCGTACCAACACCACTTCCTCAACGGCATCCTTCGAGAACAGTAAATCGGGACTGCAGCGTAGCAACACCGACAGTGGCTTTCGAAGGAGCCGTCCGTCGTCTATGGAGTCAAAGTCCTCAGGATCGGCCGTTGGCCATACCATTCCTCGCCGTTCATCGCCCTTGAAGCGGCAAAGCGGAGGGTCACTAGTGTCTATACCCGAGGTTCGACGGCCGAGGACGCGGCTTGTGATTGATGAAAACGGACGAGCACGCACAGAGACGGATCCTGCCGAGGGTGACACGAAGCCGGCGAGCAGTGTCCAGACTGACTTCAGACGCCAATATCCTGGCCTCTGGAACGATGATGACAGCGATTCCGAGTCGGACGAGCCTGTCACGCTGAGCAGGAACGCATCTTTTAGTATGCCGAAACGGCGTTCATCAAAGCATGCCAGAACCGACAGCATGGGTGTGGATCGATCGAATTCATTCAAGGTGCAGAGGTCATCGTCTGGCGTTTTTGATAAGTCGTCGTTTGATACGGTTCGGCCTGTGCGCGCTACAAGGAAGGCCATGGACAATCCTTTCCGGAGATATAGCATGATGGATCTCCCAACATCATTTGGCGAAATCAAGGAAACGGAAGACCAAATGCCAGACTCTGCAGGAGACGCTCTGAAGAAGGTCGTGAACGGCCGTCTCAATCGGATAGGTATGAACGTCTCGAACAGTCTAACATACCTTACTCATCATCTCAGACAATACTGCCCACAACACCTTGAAAGCCCATAACCAGCGTTGGGCCGCTGATATGTCGAATCAGAACAACACCACGCAAGGTCTCTACGATTACCCGAGCTCGTTCAACGCATCGCCGGCCACCAACACCGACGCTGGTCTCACCACACCTTCTACTGATCGAAGCAGCCTCTCGAACGAGAGCACGCGTTGTGTGTGCAGCACTTCAGACGACGGGAGACCAATGGTTCAATGCGAATCATGCAACAAGTGGCTGCACATGGCATGCGTTGGATTGAACACCAACAACCTCCCGCCCGTATACGTTTGCGTCTTCTGCACAGGCCACACACCGGTTGCTCGAGGCGGCAGGATACGAGGGCCTATGCCACCGTTCGAATCGCCTCTCACGCACAAGTCGGTGTACCGACAATAAGAGTTGCCCCCGCACAGTACTGCAGCATCAGCACATGACGTTTCGTTCACCCCAACCTTTTGGCTTAGTCTGTTTGGCATCGATACGCCCCAATCCGAGCGAAATACCAGGATACCCACATCGATGAAGCATTGCCCCTTTCCCAGCATACCCAATTCTCCAATTTCCTTCCGTAGTCCAGCGTTGATTGCAGCTTTCTCAGCACCGGCATCTATACATTTCGCTACACCCTCACCGGTTCCTTCGCATACTTTCGCACAGTCTCTACCGACCGACGCGAGCTCTCCCTAATTAGCATACCGTAATACGACAACCCCCAAAGAAGCACCTCCGACATGTACGCCCGTAATCGACGTTGTTCCACCCCTTGGATTCCCGCTGGCCCAGGAGTTTCAGGTCGGGTGACTTAATGTCTTGTTCCTGTCTCGGATTTCCCTCGTTTTCAACAACGTAATGCTGACGAGCTCACGTATCGGCGATTTTTCCTTCTGTTCTGCATTCCAGACGCTCCTTTACGACGATTGTTCTTACGCTCCTTATGCCCGCGTTATGAAAGACTTGAGGCAAGAACACATTTATGGATATGATAGTAATCTGGCTGAATCAGCTTGATGATTGAGTATGGCAACTTTCACGGCAAGAGAGATATGTTTGTGAGCTTGCTGGCGGCGTGGGAATCGGGTTGAGAGGACCGCGAGACGGACTGTAGATAGATTGCCTGCTGGGATCGGAGAATATACCGAAGCTTTTTGCAAATCTTGATTGAATCTTGGGCAGAGTTTACTGTCCGTCTTCTGCCCTCCCTTGTGATTATTAAGGAAAACGCCTTTTGGGAAGGTACGTTTCAGGCCTGGCTACTGCTGGTGACAATACGTTGTTGCAAGCTAGCAAGCCAATTCTGTAAGCAGTTTGATATGGGTAGTTCGATAGTTCGAGGACAAATTTAGTGACGGTATGCGTCATCGTGAAACTCTTCCGGACAAATTTGAAGGGGGGTCTCAAAAATATAAGCCTCTAAAGTCTGTGAGTGCTGCTGCCTAATGCGATGACTCTCAACATAGAAGATCTGAAAATGACCTCTCTGTCGAAGGTTAAAAATACGTCTAGAAAAAAGATAAGAAAATGCAATAACTAATAGACCACTCAAAGTCCAATGGGCCCAAAAATGACCCTTTACCAAGAGATTGGAGCCATTTATAACGTCAAAGAGTAAAAAAAACGCAAAAAGAAACCACACGAAGTCCATGGGGCTCGAACCCACAACCTTTGGTGCATTTCAGTAGGACCGAAAACCAACGCGCTACCATTGCGCCAAGACTCCAATGAGTTGATTTATAGATATTTTTCGGCATACGTAAAATTATATACATTATCATGAATATCTACCTATACTTCAAAAGCTACGATACGAGTGAGTGAAACTTGACCAGGTGCACAGACGATACAAAGACGCCGGGCGGTGGTTGCTAGAATTTCGCATGGTGGGGTAAAAGAGGGGTTGTGTGGCGTCATTGGTCGCCGGTCTTGGGCAACCGCAACCTTTGATCGTCAGGCGCTCCTTTTCAATGTGCGCTTGCCTATTCATTAGAATATATTTCCCGCAAGACCGAGCCCGAATGTCGGGGCCAATGGGTTGTACGCGGTCATCATACATCCTCACGGCTCTACCTATACAATGGCTAGTTCTTGTAATGCGGTCCCCAGGCAAGCCGGGCCCCTGAGCATTCTCCACAACGACCATAGACAGTCATTCCCGCTCCGTGCTAACCGTGGATGAGAAGCTCAGATGCAGAGTTCAGGGTGAGCCTTGCCGCCCTACTCAGCTGCGGCGTATTCGGCACAGTTTAGTCTCCGTGGACATCACCAACCACAGCGACCGAGCACGTCAGCAGAGCTTCTGAACACAACCACGGTGGTCTGACAAGCGATCGGCCCGATTGCCGTTCGAGTAATACTTTCCCAAACGACGGCATTTGGAGACACGCAGCTACTGTATGACGAGCAATTTGGGGGCGCGTACTCTGCATGCGGAGAATGGAAGAATTGCTGACACCCGACGGAAGGATTGGATGGCGGATTTTGGTATCTGCGGGAATTGAGGTGCCGTGGCGCGCACCAAGGCAGGATGGAGCTGGATCGAGGTCATGAAATCAGGAAGCATCCATGCGATGAAAAAACCAAAAAAAAAATGGAGAAGCCCAATCAAGTCGGTGGTATCGACTTGCTCACATTGCTCGTAGATCGCTAATGGCCGCCTATAGATAAGGGATTGCTCTCCATGGAGTGTATTTCAGCTCGGCCAACCCGAAATTGGATAGACGTATACGAAGAACAAGCAGAGGATCCGTGTCAGCTACTGCATGGGGGAAAAGGTGCCTTCTCATATGTCGTATAGCTGTACGGAGTACACCGCAGGCCCTGGCCCCGATTCATTGTGTCAGATTACTAGGCCTTTCTTTTTGTTCTCATCCTATTCAATCTCTCCCCTAAACTCATCACTCCCTATCATCCATAATTTCCTTGCCGACCACCACCACTTTATCCATCTACTGAATGTCCCACGTATACGGCTCCACCTTGTCCTTCAGTCAAGGCCGGATGTATCCGGCAGCACCAGACCAGCCAATTGTCTTCTCGCTTCGTCTGCGCCCTCCAGTATGTCTCAGTCTCTGTCACGAGTTGTTGCTTTTCGAGTAGTGCAGAGAATCGTTGGGTTCGGTGCCATATTTATTAGCAAGATGTTCACCATCTTGAGATTGAAGCAGGATATCAACGTATGGGGTTATCAGAAGTAGAGTGTAAGAGTGATTGATTTTTCTGCAAAGGAGGCTATACGTACGTACGTAGCTGCATGATTGGATCACCTGAAGCAGGAACGCGCGGACCGTAGCTACAGGATAGACAGTTGCGATTCAGCAGCAGGAGGTGCTTGTACTATTTTTTTCAGTGATTTCTACACTAATAACTAGTAGGAACTCCCGACCAAGGGCCCCGACCGCTCTCACGAATTCAAACTTTCACCGACGAATTAGTACCTGCGTCGGTGACGAACGATGAATTCATGCTACTACATCTTTACAAAACAAACGGATGCTAAAGTGGCGACATGTCAAAGCTTCTGAATATTTCCTTAGGAATATCTGGATGGGTCGGACATCAGCATACGATGCGTGGATGCGGCATCTATCTAGTACCTGGCACTGTATTTACCCTTTTTCTTCCTCCTCTTCTCTTCACTCCGACTAACTTGCCCCCAGCTCTCGTAGAAAGCGCACTGCAAACATTTCAACTATCTAACATAATACCAGACGGTGTAGTTCCACTACTCCGTTAGCTAGTAGGCCTAGAAGAACATCGACATCTTCATGGGTCTGTATAGCCCCACAAGTGATAAATGAGCAAGGTGTGGTAGGTTGCTATAGAATCGGAAGGCGTGACTTGAACCGTAACCCAAACCCGTTAGCGCAACCTAATGAGTTGACGAACTCGTCGACCACTGCTTCGCCTATCTATGGTTTAACATAAATCGCCCATCTTATTTCAAAAATATAGAGCGGAGGAATCTATTCGCAGCCCATACACAATGGTCTAACTCCCTCAGCCATACCTATGCATACTCAACCTCTGCATGCGTTGACAAACTCAACCCTTCACCTATCTCCACAAAGGTTCTAATTTTGGCAATTTTGATCCTGGTACAACACGCTGGCACCTCGCCGCTAAATCTATCAAACTCTCTGCGGTTCAGGTGGCGTTTTTCCCGTGTCGTTTACAACCTTCCCGAGGCTTGCATCACGAAAACATCCCTACTGAAACTCGAAATGAAAGCTAGACGCCTGTAGTAGCTTATGATGAGAACGCTTGTGCGATCTTATTTGCCAAGTTCGCGGATCTCTTTGAAGCATCCCTTGTTTATCGCCAAACGCTATTTCGATCTCCGAAACGCACCTCGTTGCAAAACATGTGGACTCGGCATCGCCATTGGATGAAGTGTTGATCTTGCTAGTAGATAGACTCTTGTTTTTTACTGTCATCCCGAGGTAAGCCATCGACGAGCATAATTTGTATCACGGAAGACTGACGCCCGTGTTTCGTGTGATTGTGCGAGCGCGAGAGGCGGTACAAAAGAGCAATGTATCCCACCACGATACTGTACACTTCGACACCATCTTATCAACCCTTTGAAATGATTCACTGTCCAGCTATGGGTAGTAGTCCCTTGGATGAGCTTCTACATTCTGTTCGCGGTAAGCCTTCTGAACATCTTCGAACCAGGCGATAATAATCGACCAATCCCGTGGCCATGGATTCCAAATTGCACAGACCGTGGAATAATCTGGTTGGTCCATCCTTCAACTCAAACCTTCCCATCTTAGCCTCGCATGCTACTTTGGCCTTCTTGAGACACGCCTGGAATCCCTCCGATCCAGCCGAGGACCTCAGGCACAGTCACAAATCTGCTTCACATTTGACACAAGCCAAGTTTAAGCAGTCCAAATGAGGCTAATATTGCTTCTTCAGCTACAGGTTCGCAAGCGATGCCCCATGTTTCCCAAACCAATACAAGACATTCCCATTCAAAATTCGTTCTCCGAACCAGTCAGGAGCTGACATAACAACTCGCTGTTACTAATACCAAAGCGCGAGGACCAAACACCATCGAAGGCATGAGCAGCAAGAATGAGAAGGGAAGATCTAACTCTGAGGGTATACAGTACCACCTCCCACGGGTTCTTAAGAGACAGCCCAGAACACTCCGTCAGCAGGGAGTCTCTAGTTCTTCTCACCCTCAGCGTTGTCCTCACCCTCAACGTTGTCCTCACCCTCAGCGTTATCGTCAACGTTCTCCTCGCCGTTGTCGTTGTTCTGGCCATCATTCACCTGCTGGGCAGCGTTGGCGTTGGCCTCGTTGCCGGCGTTCTTGTTGTCGAGGTTCTGGGAAGCCTCAAGCTCGGCTTGCCAGGCAGCGGCAGCGGTGTTGGCAGGGTCCTCAGCAACAGACGACCAGGTCGGCTTCTGGCCGAAGAACTGAACGTCATTGGTGGCGGTGGGGAAAGCAGCGCCAGAGCCGAAAGCACCACCGTTCTGGGCAACGCCAGTGGGGATAGCGAGGTTGCCGTCGAAGTTGAAGCCACCAACATTGCCGAACTGGTTGAAGACGTTCTGAGCAGCAATAGCGGTCGAGGCAAAGACTATACAATGTTAACAGTGCTCCATCAACAGTAGCAGATGTGGACCTACCCATGACGGTTTGGGTTCCGCCGAAAGCACCCTGGTTGGCCACGACCGCAGACTGGGCAAAGACGCTCTGCTGGATCTGGTTGCCGAAACCATCGTCAATGGCAACATCAATCTGCTGCACAACAAGCATGACAGTCTCCTGCTGGGGAAACTGGTTCCTGAAGGAAGCCTGTCGGGAGAGGTCGTTGAACTTGTTGTTGAAGCCGTTGTTCTGTTGATCGATGATCAGGACCTCCTGGGCCTGCTGGACGAACTGCTGGCCGAAAGCGCCATTGTCGACGAAGAGGACCTCCTCCTGCTGGAACTGGAAGACTTGCTGCTGGTCGTTGAAGTTCCCGAATTGGTTGAAGATGTCAAAGTCGCCATTGAAGCCGTTGCCAAAGACATCGAGGCTTCGCTTGGCCGGAGTGACTGGCGCGGACCTCTTGCTGTAGGCCGGGAGGCTCTCCGGGGCATTGATGGGCTTCGCAGCTGCCGAGTCTGTTAGCTATCGCTCTTGGACTCAAGTGACATTGCAATGGGCTTACCAGCCAATCCAGTCGCCAGGACCAGCGCGGCACAAGTCTTCATGAACATGTTGATGGTGTGTTTGTGGGGGAAGCCCAGTTAATACGAAGGAGTGATTAGAAGTAACGAATTACTAAACGTCACAGACGTAGAAGGAGTGAAGATTGAAGCGTTAAAGAAAGGCTGTCGGACTGTCAAAGTCGCGAAGAGAAAGTAAGTATTAACTGGGCTGTGAAGGAGAGTGGTACTCAGAAGGACTGTAGCGAAGTGAGTGATGGAGGCATAACTGAGGCAGCACACCACCAGCTTATATTTGATTCCTGCGCATGCCAAACAAGCAGCACTTTCGGCACCACAGCCGCCATTGTTGCTGCTACTACTCAGGCCATCCGGCCAGCTGCAGACCCGCCCCCGCCAAGACAGAGGTGATGAACAGCTAAAACGTCTGCCAAGAAGGCTTGAAGAGGCTGCACGAGCAGGCCTCGTCTGCCTGACGGTTGCCCCATTGGCCTGCAAACTGCGGAGGGATGCCTCCCGTTGCACCGCCAAGACCGTGGCCTTCCGAGCAGTGCG